TCCGGTGATGACACTTCAAGAATGCTTGATTGGGTTCGAGGCAAAGAGAAGCGAAGAAAACTTGAAGAGAGGTTTTATTAGAGGTGTCTCAAGCAACTATATCTACATGAGCCTTCACCGAATGATCTAGAGACCGACCAAGACTTGAGATTCCACTTGACCTATGAAAACCTCGACTTTCAGGAGGCCTTAAGCTGGACTGAGTACTAGAAGACAACGATCCTGTGATACGACCTAAAAGACACGCTACTTAGGAGGCACCCCAACATCAATTTGCATTTTCTTTTCCTTTACCTTTCAATAAAGTACTTGCATCTTTGAATTTAGTTTTTAGGTTATTTTGTAGCCTAAGTAGTAACAAACGACCATGCCTTAGTTAAGAATGAGTTCTAATGGACTAAGGTGAAGGGAAAATGATGAAATGATGATATATTGTTGTGTGTTACATGCTTATGAATGAATGTACGTGGTTTGGAAGCCTTGGTGGGTATGAAGTGCATGTTTTCCTTTGATTTGATTATTTCCCACCAAGTGATTGATGAAATGCCTAAACCACTTAATTTGTTCTTGTAATGTTTTTATGCATGATAAATGAACTTTAATGCTTATGTTAGACCACTAGAAGCATGTTTGAGGGTTAGTTTTGAATCTTGATCGATTGGTATAAGGTGTATGGTCCCTTTGTTCACCAAACCTTACCACTTTGATATGATTTTTGAGCAATCGGCCCATAACCCTACTGTAGTCGTTTAGGTTGTTTATTGCCTTTGTCTAAGGCATTAAAACCCCTAGATTGACATGTTGTCAATTGAATCAATCAATCAAGATTATTAACTACCTAATTCAACATTGTTTCCCACTTCGCACCTTTGTTTTACACAGTAACCATCAAGTGTGGGGGTGTATAAGATTGGATCCTAGGGATGATGAGAAGTGTTCAATGCATTCTTTGATTATTGATGAAATGTGTTTGACATGGATTAGTATGAATCGTTCTTGTGTGTGTAGGAACCTTTATAAGGGTTAATCTTTTGAAGAGGAGAGAGTTCCAATGCTCCTCCGCTGGAGGTGGTAAAAACTTTAAACTTCCAATCAATGGAGACACTAAACCACTTCCACACAACAATTCGAGCCTCATGCACCACTACATCATAAGCAATAACACCAACAAAGAATAGAAGTGTCACCTAGAGGTCGAAAGAACTAGTCCAAAAGGCAATTTCTTAACTTTGGGAGGAGATCAACCTATCCGCCCTACCCTTCGATCCCACAATCACTTTGACATAGCATTTTGGTAACTTCGTTCCACATCCTTTTACTTTCTCACATTGAGGACATAGCATTTTGGTAACTTCGTTCCACATCCACATTACTTTGGGAGGAGATCAACCCTCCCGCCCTACCCTTAAATGTTGTTTGGGGGGGGTGTGCATAAATGCTTGTGTGGAATGTTATTATCGATTATACTCTTATGCCATAAATGTTTGAAAGCTTGATCGAGAGAGAGTGTGCTTTTAGAGTGATTGTGAACGGCAATTTAGCATGTTTCAACCACTTGGAGCCTTGTTTGTATGCCCAAAAATTTTCAAATTCGAGGGCTCCAAGTTGGCCCCTTTTGCATTCTCCCTACTCTATGTGCTTTGACTTGTTAGATAATTGTGATGTTATGCATGATAGGGAGGATAGTGTAGCGCTACGGAGGATGTTGGAAGTGAGGAATTTAGCCAATGATTTCCTCCTTGAATGTGTTGATATTGTCCACTATCTAGGTTAGGACATGTGTGCTGGATTCTCTACTTACTTTTGGACTCAAAATGTTTTCAAACATGTGCTCATTTTTGAAAAAAGAGGTTCTCACGTGAGAGTCAACCGAGCACAGTGTTTGAGTCTAGCCGTCAAAGGGATTTTCTCTTGGCTCGGAGTTCCCTTCGAGGATATGTTTGGGGTCCGGATAGCTTTATTGCATCTCGATCATATTTCACTACTTTCCATCCCCCAATTACCTCTCCTCGTCATGAAATCGTATGTCAAGGTACAAAGTACCTTTTAGCGATTCAAGAGACCTCAAGCTCTTGTTTGTACCCAACATGTGTGGCAACCCAATGTGGAGTGCAGGCTGAGAAGTGGTGCTCCAGCTAAGATGAATTCACCCATCAACTTTGCCACATGTGACCTTGATAGAGAAAGCAATGATTCATTCGCTCTTGATCATGAGGGAGATATGCTTTCTTGCAAAAAGTTTGCTGCAATGAGCGGCAACGTTAAAAAGGAGACCGATAAATGAAAACTCCTACCTTGAAAGAAATAATAAAAAGCACCTTATAGGGCCCACGATTTTAATCGTTTTTGAGAAATCCCCCAGTGCACACCGTTGTCTAGACCACTTTAGTGGCAAGGTCCCCATTCGGGAGTGTGTTTTCATATAGAGATTGGCGGTAGAATTCTTAATGAGCGGTCGACCACAAAATGTGCTAGCTGACCCTCTACCGACGATATATTATGCATGACATTGTGATTTATCTTGCAAGTTGTACGAGTTTGACTAGGTTTGCTTGGGGACAAGCGAACGCCTAAGTGTGGGGGAGGTTGATAACACCTAAAATTGGCGTTATTAAGCCCCTATTCCCAAGGCATTTGCATGTTAAATCACCGTGTCTAGGCCACATATCAAGTTATTTATGCGTATTTTCGTTCCTATTTGCAAAACATCCATTTTGGCATAGGTATTCTTGATATGAAGGTTTTCATAGGAGAACCGACCGCAATATGTAGTATTTTATGCTTTCCCAAGTTTTGTGATGAAATTCCAGGTCTTATATGCATTCGGAATTGATCGGGAATCGATTGGAGTTCATCCGAGCATGATTGAGAAGCATATGAGCAAGAAGTGGAGAAGAGGCATTGTCATGGCCATAGGTCATGGTCGTGACCATGTTCGCGAGCTGAAGATCGCGACTGTGAACAGGCCGTAAACTTTAGCATGCGACCAAAAAGAAGGCAAAGTTTCCCCTGTCGAATCGCGGACATGGCACATTTTGACCTTGAAAAGATCGCGTCCGGGACACAAATATCACTGTTGTGATCTTACGAAGGAGGCCGCGATCTCGGAGCTTAATGACAGAGTCAAAACACGTCGTTTCGGGAGATTCGAGGATGTTCCAGCGGGTCACGGCTAGGTCACGACCTGGTTACGACCTTGACCATCGCATCACGCCTTGGAGGCCATGGCCGCCATCAGCTTTCTATAAATACCACTCTTACTACACTTGTCAGAGGAGAGCCGCCCTAGAGCGGTAAAGTTAGGGTTTTGGAGCGTTTAAGAGAGCAAAACACCTTGGGAGAGTTTCATTGAAGATCCAATCAACCCAAAGAGTAAGGAGAAGGTGCAAGCAAGGAGAAGAAGTTTGATTCCATCACTCCCCTCTTCTAGTTTGTGTTTTCTTTCTCTCTCTAATGACTTGAATCTCTAATGGTTGTTCAGAACAGATGAACCCCAGATTATATGTTCGTATTTGAATGAGTTTATTTATGGGTAAGTTGTTCTAGTGATTTTATGCCTCATGTGTAGGTAGTTATACTTGGGTAAGTCGCTCTAATCTTCTCTACTAGTCTACTCGAGCTACTACAATGGGTAAGGAGTGTTAGGGTTAGACGGGTATGCGCCATTTGGCAAACTAGTGATAGTGAGTTATCTTAGGGTTTTGAGGTGGACGAGGTGACCGAACCCCTGCCTCTATAGTGCCTTCCTAGAACAATACTTTGGGAGTTTTCCTGGTAGTGTGTGATAGGTTGAACCTATTTGAAGGAACTAAGGGAGCATCACTAGCGAGAAAACTTAGATCGAGGTGACATTGGGTCTATGTGGGTAACACTAAGAGGTGGGAGAAATTCCCATACCAGAGAGTTTCGCACCATATCCATTAAGTCAACTTATTGACTATAAGTAGGGGAATTCGACTTAAAAGCTCAATCACGCAAGCGATCAATTACTCGGATGAGACATGAAAGCTTTAGAAGTTGAAAGCGTGAAATAAAATCAATGCCCAAAAATTGAGTTACTAAAGCTTAATATTGAAAATAAGATTAACCATTCATACCATCTCTAAAAATAACCCCTAAATGTGATGTAAAACCCACAAAATAATGTTTATGGCACACTATTTCCGAGAGATACATAATCCTCCGATTCATTAAAATTTAGGCAATATCTACCGACCAAAGTAAAAATTTGTCAACCAAATTATGTAAAACTAGCCATATCTTGACGTGTTCCATATTTTTCGGGCATGTTAATGTTTAGCATATTTTCGTCAACGAATTTGGGTTGAAGTTTAGGGTTAATGATTAGGTTTGAAGGGTTAGAGTTCAAGGTTCAGGTTTTAGTAGTCAGAACTTATGGTTGAGGGACTCAAGGTTTAAGGTGTTAGTATTTAGGGGGATCAAGGGTTAGCTTTAAGGGTTTTAGGTATTATTCTTCAGGGTTTCCTATTTTTGATTGTTCAAAGGCATTATCTTTTTGATTGATCGATGAGTAAGTGAGAAAAAGTTGCAGAGCATGATCATTTGATCAAATTATACACATATTATGTTCATGATAGGGAAGAAGTCGAGTCGAGAATCATAACAATTCATGATTTTGAAGTCTAGACCGTCTAATGATAACAAACTAGACAAGTTAATCTACGGTCCCTAAACTCTTACGTTTTACTAAATTAATACTATGTAGATTAACCAAGATATAATCCTATCTTATGATATGCCTTGTTAGAGAAGGTTCCATTTTAGTAAATTAATCCCATTCTTGTAACCGACCCGAACTCATTCTTGAATCTTTCAATTCTTGGTTGACATCTGTTTGCTAAAAATTATTTGTTTTCAAAATAACAACAACAAAAAATTAATAGAAGGACGTCATTTCCTCACAAACATGCACCCCACGTTCCATCATCATCCCCCCTCCACCACCACCATTCATCACTATACGCTCCCCTTAACCGAAAGAAAGAGGGAAAGATAGAAGACAAATATCAAACATCAACAAGACCAAAAGACAACTCCCAACATTCAAAGAATCATTAACCCATCAATCATCCCCTCCACGAACTTTCATATTCAAAGAATCATTCTTGGGGGGTGGTTTTCTACTTTTCTTTTGGGCTTCATTTCCTCAGCCATTCTCATCAATTTCCCTCTAGAAACCTTCCCCCAAGTCAAACATTGTTCATACCCATATACATAAACCTCTCCCCCTCATTGGCATCTAACACTGTTTTTTCTTTTCCATGTTTCTTGTTGAGGTTGTAGTTGTGGGGTTAAATTATGATGATGAGCTATGATGGTTCAAGAGCATGAGCACAACAGCCACATCCATGGTCTAAAGTCAAGATTGGTCACTCATATCAAGGGTATCCATATCCATGACCATTCATCATTAAGGCATCATCACGCCAACACCTCCAGCATCGTCGACGAGATCGAAACCACCGATGATTTAGAGGATCAGAATGTAGTAGCAACCATAACCCAGCTTCCAGCAACACCAACAAAAAGCACCCAAGTTTCAGAGAAGATCGATCCTGTGAACAAAATGGATTCCAAATCAACGCCTACTGGAGCCACGGAAAAGAGTGGTAATTCTCTCTCTCTCTCTTTTTTTTTTTATTATCATGTTTTCATTCCATTCAAAAATTATACGAATCAGAGAGACATAAAGCTGAACCTGTATGTTCGGTGGGGTTGCAGAGATGGAGCAAATGAAGGAGAAGTTTGCGAAGTTGCTTCTGGGAGAAGATATGTCCGGTGGAGGGAAAGGGGTTTCTTCTGCACTTGCATTGTCAAATGCCATCACAAATCTTGCAGGTAACATGTTATGATCAGCACCTTCAAAAGCTTCAGGGAAGCATAGAATCAGTCATATGGTTGTTTAAAAGGATAGTTCCCAATGTTTTCAGCTTCGGTTTTCGGAGAACAATGGAAACTAGAGCCGATGTCTGCCCAGAGAAAAGCAAGGTGGAGGAGAGAAGTCGGATGGTTGTTGTCTGTAACAGACCATATAGTTGAATTCGTTGCCAAAAAGCAGGGCAACATAGAGGTAAGATAACAAAAACAAGCCAAGAAACATGCATTTTCCTTGTGCTTGAATACCATGATGAATTACCATTCATTTGAAACTTTTTCTGGATTTTCGACAGGTTATGGTTACGCAACAACGGAACGATCTTCATATGAACATCCCGGCCTTGAGAAAGCTCGATGGAATGCTGATTGTAAGAACATTTTAACATAAAGTCTTAAACTTTATATCAGGTTGTTACAAATTTTGAAGTTTTGGCCATATGGGTTTCTTTTTCCAGGATTGCCTTGACAACTTCAAGGATCAAAGCGAGTTTACTTACGTCTCAAGAGACGCACCAGACTCGGAGAAAGGACCAAAGAGGAAAGAAGAGAAATGGTGGCTACCAACTGCTAAAGTCCCCACCAATGGCCTATCAGACTCGGCAAGAAAGTTTCTGCAGTACCAGAAGGATTGTGTGAACCAAGTCCTCAAAGCAGCAATGGCAATCAATGCTCAGGTTCTTGCAGAAATGGAGATTCCTGAAAACTACATCGAATCCCTCCCAAAGGTACGGTACTACTGGTTAACAAAATGATATAAGATTCATCTATGGGCTTCTCTCAACAGCTCGAGTTATTGGATGAATCGGTCATCAAAACTAACCATGCTTTGAATCGCTTGTTTATGATTCTTGCAGAATGGTAGAGCTAGCCTAGGAGACTCGATCTACAAAAGTATAACAGTCGAGTTCTTTGATCCTGACCAATTTTTGTCGACCATGGACCTATCATCGGAGCATAAAATACTGGACCTCAAGAACAGGATTGAGGCTTCCATTGTGATTTGGAAAAGGAAGATGATCCAGAAAGATGGTAAATCAGGATGGGGTTCTGCTGTCAGCATAGAGAAAAGAGAGCAGTTTGAAGACAGAGCTGAAACTATACTCCTCATCATCAAACAAAGGTTCCCTGGAATCCCTCAGTCTTCACTAGAGATCAGCAAGATTCAAGACAACAGGGTAATAACTAATAACTAACAAGCAATTGCCTTTCTGAAAGTCATAGGTAGGATAGGAGTAATTGTTTCTTTAAGTACTTTTGTTAGTCTTAAACTAACTGAAGTGGATATGTTTTGGGTGTGGACTTAACAGGATGTAGGCTATGCTATCCTGGAGAGCTACTCAAGGATCCTAGAGAGCTTGGCACACACAGTTCTATCGCGTATTGAAGATGTACTATACGCTGATCAAGTTGCGAGAAGTCCAACAAAAGGTGGTAAGAAGAGAAGTCCACTGATATCAGGGACACCACCTTCGGAGGATAGAGACAGAACATCTGTGGATGCACCCTTGGCAATGACACTGTCGGACTTCATGGGCTGGGAAGGCGATCAAAATGACAACGATGACGACTTGATAGAAGCGACAGAGGAGATATCGAAACAAGACTCGAAGCTATCAGAGAAACTTGCTAGTGTAGAGACGAGAAAGACATCGTATCTTGATAACTTGGTTGGTTCGAGAAGCCCAACATCAAGGCACTAAGGAGATGAAACACCAGAAAAGTAAGACTATGGGGCACAAATAGGAGAAAAGCCTGACAAAGAAAGATAAACTTTCACTGTCATTTTTGAGTTTACTATGTCATTTTTGTGAACTCTGTACATAAGGAGAGCATGGGATGTAACAGTTTTAAAACCTATGCTCTACTGCCATTCTTTTTTCTTGTTACTAGATCAACATTCAATTAGTAAGTGAAGTATGTCAATCTCTTTTACGATTCATTTCCTATTCGGCTTGCAGTCGTACTTGTTCGGCAGCAGCTAATCTTACAAACCCTTATCAGAATGCAATGGAATAACAGGCTGAAATCACATCTGGAACGAATGTAATTGAGGTTGAAACCGGCTTGTAAAGTATACTTTTGGACAAACTTGCATACTTCATCTAAATAGGGTACACATAAACATGGATACATACAACGAAGTTAGATTTTGCCGCGAGGTCCAAGCTTTGGTGGCAGCTGAGGGCCCTTAACGATCGGGAGAATGTCGCCAGAGACTGTAGAACCCAAGTAAGCAATGGTGGAACCACCTCCCAGTATCAAGAACTTGAGCAACAATCCTCTCTTGGTGAATGGAGCAGCGAACGTCTCGAAGAACTTGCTCTGAATGTTACATCAAAACAATTCAAATACTAAGTCAGAGACACAAAATCCTATTAAGAAAACCATGGTTTTGCTGAGCAATCTAATTAAGCATCATGTTGACAGCAAGCATTTGGATATGATGCAATCCTATGTTAAGATATGCATTAGTTATGGGAAAGCATTATCAGATGGAATTGGTGAGAATATCCATTGCCAATGCTACAAGATCATGTAACTAGCAGATACTACAACCTGGCTAATGTATGGCCTTTAATTAATACAAATGAAGGTCAACTATCAAACAAAGAGAAGAAGGGGGTGGGGGAATGGATGACATAGTTGTCGGTACAAAGGAAAAATGAAATGTATGTTGTCAACAACTACTCTAACTAAAGCTCATGGTAGGCAAACTTTGCCTGCAGCCTTCTGCTAGCAAAACTAAGTGTCCTGTTCATGTTACTTGAAAAAGCCCTCAAAGTAAGACTATTCTCACATCTACCTGAATCTTCACTATCTTAAACAAATTCAACCTCAGAAATAAAATTTTCATTAGCTTTCATAGCTCAGTTGGTTAGAGCACCCGTTTAGTAAGCGGGAGGTCTTGAGTTCAACTCTCAATGAAAGCAAATGTATTCATTTTTTCCTTTGTTTTATTTTCCTTTTGAGACTCCAAATCATTCAATGAAGTGAAAACTGAAAACAAACCTGGAGAGGGTTGTAAGGAGAAGGAGCATCTGAGCCATACAAATCCCACTGTCCAGTAGTGTTCCCCAAATCCTCCAAATCAAAATACACACTCTTGTCACCGTACTTTGCCACCACACCACCACTCCTGCAAACCATGGATGATTCCTCATTTTTGAGCGAATCCCAAAAACCTCACAACTAAGTTGTTAAACACACATCACAACCTGCAATGGCGGAATCTACCTGGAAGTTTTGGCTCTGAAGCTCTGGCGAGAAGGCTTCACATGGAGCTTGGTTCCACAGATGGAGCTGCCTCCGAGTCCCTTGACGCTGGCGGCTGCTGGTTGCACGGCAGCAAACGTTGCTAGAGAAGCCATTGCTTTTCTTGCTTTGCTCTTTTTTTGTTCTCTTCTCTTCTTTCCCGTTTTGAGGTTCAGTTCGCTTTATGAACGGGTGGGCGATTTTATGTTTTGGCCAAGGATCAGAGATGGACACGTGGCACAATGGGTTTTCGTCAGAGAGATTTTGGGTTCTCATTCTCGTGGCTACTGCGTGGATAAGGCTATCCATTTGGTCCATCTAAAATATTCTCACCTATATTTTCTGTTTTGCTATCTATTTCAGGTATGCGGTGCCGTTTTGGGCTTCTTACCCTGTGTATATTGCAATTTTACATTGAAAGTCGACACTATGAATCTTTCTGTATCTGCAGCTGCTTCATTCTAACTCATACGTGGGTGGTCAAAGCAAGTTGGTCACTAATGATCAACTGCTCAAGACTTTTAGGATTGCATATTAAAATTTCCCAGCTATTACAACATATACCGTCAGTAACTTGGCAAAACTACTTTACCAAAAAAAAAACAAAAGAATAGTGTAATCAATCTTCTACATAATCTTTGTCACATAACTTGTTGGGGAAGAAAAAAAAACTTTGGGATTATGGAATGAGTACGCCTCCTAATGTATTCCTGTGACTACCATATGGGGTTGCAACAGTAGGGAGAATACTTGCTGAGAACTTGGATCATAAAGAAGTGTGAAGGGAAAATGATTCAGAGCTTCAACCCAGAATGGATAGCTACAACTCCTGCTACCAGATTTTCATACTCAACCTTCTGAAATCCTGCGTCAGCTATCATCAGAGCAAATTTATCCTGGATTCACCCAATAGAATCAGGAATCTGGATTTGTACCGGGTGTATAATGTTATAATGTGAAGTCAGTAAGAACATCAAAAGAGGTAAGTTTAAGACCTGAGGTGGGAAGCGGCGGATGCTTTCGACCAAGTATTGGTATGATTCACGATCGCCAGCAACTAGTTCCCCAACGGCTGGAATGATTGAGAATGAGTAATAGTCATACCTGCACAAGGGGGAAAACACGCTTAGGTAAAGAAGAAAGCGGATAAAAATATGAGCTCAAGGATGCCAAGAATCAACCAAGATGCTTACACTTGTTTAAGCAGGGGAACATCCACATGACTGAGTTCGAGGCAAAGGAACCTTCCTCCGCGCTTTAATACCCTGATGATAGTTACAGTTCATCAGATGATGAAGGAATATACAGGTAAAATCACAGGGTACAGGCTGTTGTTCCCATATATGATCCTCCTATGTACATGCATTGTCACAAAGATAATTTTGTTACACAAATATCACTCCTCGGTCTATTCCTTAGCCCAAGCCGTGCAGATAAATAACTCAACTCTTGGCATGACAGCATATATAAATTTCAGTCTGCAGTAATCTCCTTGATGAACATGTTTCATAACTGGCATTGTCTAAGTTGCTGATTTGATACTTCTCTGGATGTAAGCATCACATGTATGGAATATTACAACATGCTAATCCTGTAAGGTAGTCCATACTTAATGTCTCCAAATTGGTTCTACCTCCTATTTTCCCATCACCCAGCTGTAGTTAGTTTACTAGGTTCAATTGAAAACTACAAACCATTGAACTAATCACCCTAAAGCAATAAGAAAAGAGAAGTAACAGCAACCATTCCAATATTTAAACTATAATGCGTAAATGTAGACAATATGGAAGTGAAGAAGCCAAGGAGCAAACCGGTGAGCTTCAACAAGAGCTTTCTCTATGTGTGTGACATTCCTTATTCCAAAAGCTATTGTGTAACCGTCCATTGAGTTATCAGGAAAATCCAGGGCTTCAGCATCACCCTCCGCCCATATAAGCGATTTGGTTTCTCCAAGACCTTTCAAGGGGTTTCCAAAGAACACAAATCCCTTCCACACATTAGTTGCCATGCTAGTACAGATACATTTATGCATAATTCCTAGTTCCAGTGAGAACATACCTCTTTCCACGGCTCGTTTTTTACCAACATTCAACATATTAGGGTTTATATCACACACATAAATCTCAGTTTCTTCGTGTAGATTGTCATTTGAAGGATCTTGAATTGCTCTGCGTTTGACGCTGTTTACTGTTTCGAGAATTCTAAAAGCAACATCCCCTGCCAAAGAAAGCAATAAGAAATCAATAGGCCAAATGAAACACTGGTATAAAGGCATCATATTTAAGAACTGCCTATGATTAGTTAGAGCGTCTCACGCAAAAGTGGCATGTCTAAGAGCCAAAATAGGAGTACCCCACAAGAGAATCATAATACATGAAGTGCTCTACACTCTCCAAAGCTCATTCCTAGGTTGCAGCTTTACTTACCATGCAACCAGTTTAGGTTCCTATTCGACTCTTATATCCTCTCTTTCTCCAAAATTGACAATGCATGTTAGTATATGTGGCAAATATGCCATGGTAACTACTGGAAAAAGGTCCGCTCACCTGTACCGCCAGCCACATCTAAATGCTTCATTCCAGGGAACGGATTCAACTTGGAAACTAGCCTGAAAGGACCAGGAACAAACTCCTGAATAGGAAGCATGCAAAGGCGTTGAAAAAAGCTGAAAATTCTTTCAATCATAAATATAAGGAAGTGTCAAACCTTTCCTTCCACAATCTGTGCAATCCACCACTCATCAAATCATTCATCAGATCGTAATTTGAAGCGACGTTAGTGAATACATTGCCAACCAGTTGGCTTTTGTCTTCTTCCCTCACTTCTTTAAAACCTGAAATCGTAGTTGACACAAAGTTATCGCCCGTGAAAGATGACCCGAGAATAATTAGTGAAAGCTTGACAATCATCTTCTACAGATTCATGCCCACTAAAAACAACAGCTCAAAGTTAAAGAATTGGTACTAACCAAAGCTTGTGGCATGCGAATGCAGTGAAGAAGTGGCGGTAAGCATAGACAAGAACTTGCTTCCAAACTTCCGGCTCGCTAATCTCAGAGCCATCGCAACTACCGCAAACGCCAATTGGAACTCGAAAGCTTCAAATTCGACGAGATTACTACTACAGGAAACAGAAAGAGAAACGAACACAAATAGGTCATCGGCCAACGATTGAAGCGCCATGCCTTTGTTTTCTGCAGCGGCTTTACGGGCAGTTTTAACGACTGAAAAGCGAGGTAATGCAAAATTACCTAATCGAACGGTTGCGCTATTTGTGCTTGCTCGAAGAGGAGGTGAGTGCGGCGGCTTAAGGTGAAGGGAGCGACTGGTAGGGGGATCGCCGGTGATGGTGAAGGGGCTCTTTCGCCAGTACTTATTCAATTGGTTGATTTGGGGGAGATGAGATGGGAATTGCAGCAGAAGGCGCGAGGAGGAAGAAGAGTAGAACACCTATCGGCTATCGTTTAACTTCAATATGTCGTGCCAAATTTAGTTCCCCGCTAAATATCGTAAAATACCGACACATTTTGAGATATGTCGATATCTCCTCAGAGCTAGCTTTCTTATCGGCGATCTCTCGCGTTTCGTTTTCAGTTTTGACAAATTGAAACATTTCGTGTTTTCTTAACTGGCAGGCAAATTCTGTGCTTTGTTTTCTTTCCCTGGGTTGGAAGTTTGGTACCGGTATTTGGGATATACCGAATATATTGGGCCAGGCCCACGTTGATAACGTTGATGACTCTGAGCCTAGTACTGACGAGAAGCTCAGCAGCCCGAGTGCCCATGCAGCGCATGTCTTTCCCACGTCCAAGGAGATTCCATTATGTGTTATGAGTTGTAACCCTAAGGCAGCCCTAGTTACTAGTATAAATGGGCAGCCGAGAGCTTGCTTGTATGCAAGTTAAAACCCTCATATCAATAATATCAGTAGCCGGAGAGATTCAAAACTCTCCCGTGGATTAGTCCCGATTCGTCGGGGATACCACGTTAAATCGTGTCTTGTGTTATTTCGTTATTCAAAGTTTTACATGGTATCAGAGCATTAAGCTCCAGGTGTTCATCTTCCTGTCGCTATGGCCTCCGACGAAGAGTCTTCCGTCGCGACGCCGCCAGGGAAAGGAAAGGCCGTCGATGATTTACCGCCGGTCTATCAACTTCACCAATCCGACGGCCCAGGAAACATGCTGGTCGGGGATGTTCTCACCGCAAACAATTACGGTGAATGGGTTTTGGACATGAAGGATGCCCTTCTGGCCAAGAACAAGTATGGTTTTGTCGATGGTTCAATCATCAAGCCCACGAATCCGACGGAACGCGAAGCATGGATTCGATGTGATGCTATGGTCAAGGGATGGCTCAAAACTTCGATGGATAAAGAAATCCGAAGTAGTATTCGATTTGCTGCCCATGCCCGTGAGATTTGGGTTGATCTACATGATAGGTTTGGGCAAAGTAGCTACTCTCGTGCATATGAATTAAGACGCCTGATTTCTCTACTACAACAAGAAAAGAAGTCTGTTTCCTCCTTTTACACGAGTTTGAAATCATTGTGGGAAGAAGCTGCGGCCATCTCGCCAACTCCAAGCTGTACGTGTGGTCATTGTACTTGTGATGTGTCCCGCCGAGTACGTGAACAGCAAGAGACAGCTAGACTCTTTGACTTTCTTATGGGCCTCGACGACGTGTTCGGTGCCGTTCGTACCCAGGTCTTGGCTATGAAGCCAATTCCCAATCTTGGGGAAGCTTTCAATATTGTTCTCCATGCTGAACAACACAAACTTATCTCACAAAATCGGAAATACCAACCTGAAGCTGCCGCGTTTGCCGCGCAAGGAGATTCTGAGAAACCCAGCCATGGGAGTGGTGATCGTAGCTCGGGGGAGCGGGAACGCCATCGTTGTACACACTGCCAACGTATTGGTCATCTTCGTGACAGCTGCTATGAACTGATTGGATACCCTCCCCGTGATCGGAACAAACCGTCCGAACGACCACGCCGTCGTCCTCGTGCTTCCGGAGATAATGGGCGTGACGCATCCAGTCGGGATGGTCGAGACACACGAGAACCCAAAGCTTCCCAGGTTGACGCAGCTGATCAAAGTCCCATTGCTGGATTTACGGTGGCCCAATTAAATCAACTCAAGCAATTTTTCAATCTTCCTGATAAGGCTGCTGAAGACCCAGCGGCGCACATGGCAGGTATACTCTCTCATAGTTCTGAATGGTTGCTCGATTCTGGTTGCAATGAGCATATTACCATGGATGAATCGTTATTATCGACTCACGAAAATCACACTAGTGGACAGCCTGTTCGCATCCCTAATGGGGAGAGTATTCCTGTTAAACTAGTTGGTTCAGTTGAGCTTCAACCGGGATTCACATTACGCAGAGTACTTCATGTCCCGGAATTTCGCTGCAATTTAGTTTCTGTTAGCAGACTAACCAAAGATAACCGTGTGGCTTTGGTGTTTCTTGATGGATTTTGTGTTATTCAGGACTTACTCTCCAAGAAATTGATTGGGAAGGGTGAGCTCCGGGATGGGCTTTACTACTTGCGCTTGTTTGGTCATGGGCAGACGCAGGTGTGTGCAGCGCAGCAAGGACGATCGGTTTCAGACGCGACTTGGCATGCTAGACTGGGTCATCCGTCTATAGATAAACAGAATTATATTGGTCGGATTTTATCTTTGTCTTTTGGTCATAATAATCAGCCGTGTCATTCATGTTCACGTGCTAAGCAGTCTAGACTTCCTTTTGAGACAAGTATGATTAAGACATCTTCTAGTTTTGATCTCATTCACATTGATCTCTGGGGTGGTTACAAGATTGCTTCTCTCAGTGGTGCCCATTTTTTCTTGACTATTGTGGATGATTTCACTCGCAGTGTTTGGGTATATCTGCTACGGTTCAAATCCGATGTGGCTCGGTATCTTTTACAGTTTTTACAAATGGTGAAGACGCAGTTTGGGAAAACTGTTAAACGCATCCAGGCTGATAACGGCTATGAGTTCAATACTGAACCACTACGTTCTTATTATTCTCGCGAGGGCATTTTACTTCAGACTTCTTGCACCGACACACCACAGCAGAATGGTGTGGTTGAGCGCAAACATCGTCATATCCTGGATACCGCTCGCGCCCTCCGTTTTCAGGCCAATCTTCCACTCCGTTTTTGGGGCGAATGCATTCTTACAGCTGTTTATCTCCTTAATCGCATGCCGACCACTGCTACTGGCAAGTCACCTTTTGAGCTCCTCTTTGGTAAGCCAGCTACTTATCGTCATATGCGTGTTTTCGGTTGTTTGGTCTATTATAAGGACACTCATGCCCACCTAGACAAGTTTGGTGAACGAGGAAGAGCTGGAGTTTTTCTTGGTTATGCCCCTACCCAGAAGGGATTTCGAGTCTATGATTTGGTCTCCCGCAAGGTTCTAACCTCTCGTGATGTTCAATTCCACGAGAGTTCTTTTCCCTTTCATCATGGCATGCAACGAGAGTTGCATTGGGTGCCTCGGCCTGTGTTTTCTGCCCCTGATGATGACGCATCTTTCTCGGACCCACATGTCCTCACGTCCGAAGATGAGATTCGTCCCTTGCCGACATCCGAGTCTCACACATCCGAGTCTCCCACATCCTCTCCTAGTGCCGAGTCCATGTCTCCCAGCTCAAGCACTTCACCAGTCACTGCCCGCAACCACTCGGTTGCACCTCTTTCTCCTGCTGCAGCCAGTCCCACGCCTTCGCCTCCGCCTCTTCGACGAGGTGACCGTGTGCGCGTGAGGCCCAAATACCTAGAGAATTACATCACGCTTGATGACCACAAGGGAAGTGCTTCTCATTCAGTTCGCTACCCTCTTTCCTCCTATGTTTCTTATGATGGTTTTAAACCAACCTATTTTGCTTTCCTTGCAGCACTAACCGGGATTGAGGAGCCGGCCACGTTTCAACAAGCATTCCGCGACCCTCGATGGCGGGCTGCGATGGCAAAAGAGATCCAGGCCCTCGTGCAAAATGGTACTTGGACTCTCGTGGAACTCCCTCCTGGAAAACGAGCCATCTCGTCAAAATGGGTTTTTAAAATCAAATTCTACCCTGATGGCAGTATTGAGCGATTCAAGGCGCGACTGGTAGCCAAGGGTTATACCCAGATTGAAGGCCTTGATTTCCATGATACATTTGCCCCGGTTGCAAAATTGGTTACCGTTCGTTGTCTCATCGCAGTTGCAGTTAATCGTGGTTGGCATCTTCATCAATTGGATGTTAACAACGCCTTCCTCCATGGTGATCTTGAGGAGGAGGTTTACATGACTATTCCTCAAGGGTTTCGAGCACCTGGTGATAACCGAGTCTGTAGGCTACGCAAATCCATCTATGGTTTGAAACAGGCTTCTCGCAATTGGTATCAGAAATTCACCTTGGCCTTACTCGAGTTTGGTTTTCGGTCTTCTCCAGCTGATGCGTCTTTGTTTATCTACCAGCGGGGGAGCACTTTTGTCACAGCTCTCATCTATGTGGATGATGTGCTTCTGGCCGGAAATGATTTACCATTCATTGATCGTGTTAAACAGTTTCTTGATGCTCGATTTAGCATCAAGGATCTCGGCCCTCTTCGCTACTTCTTGGGCATTGAGATTGCTCGCTTATCCACTGGTGTCGTCCTCAACCAGCGGAAGTATGCTCTCGACATCCTAGAAGATGCAGGTGTTCAGGGGTCCCGGCCTAGTTCCTTCCCAGTTGAGCAGAATCATCAGTTGACAAAACCCACTGATGATGTGTTACCAGACCCCTCTCTATACAGACGTTTGGTTGGTCGTCTCTTGTACCTGACCATCACGCGTCCTGACATCACTTATGCTGTTAATATCCTCAGCCAGTTCGTTCACGCACCCAGTCAGATACATTTAGATGCTGCTTTTCGGGTGCTGCGTTATATTAAAGGCTCTCCTGGTCAGGGTCTTTTCTTTCCTAATGATGCTCCCCTTCGTCTCACTGCTTATTGTGATGCCGATTGGGGCGGTTGCCAGAGTACGCGTCGCTCCATGACTGGCTATTTCATCACACTAGGCGGTGCTCCCATTTCTTGGCGAACCAAGAAGCAACGAGTTGTCGCTCGATCCTCGGCCGAAGCGGAGTACAGGGCTATGGCCAGTACTGTCAGCGAGATCATATGGCTTCGTTGGTTGCTCCAGGAACTTGGTGTACCTCAGTCTGGTCCGACTCCTCTCCATTGTGATAACCAGGCGGCCCTTCACATTGCCAATAATCCGGTCTTTCATGAGCGCACTAAACATGTCGAGATGGACTGTCACTTTGTTCGTGAGCGAGTTCAGTCGGGCCACATTCTTCCTGTCAAGGTTTCATCTACTCTTCAACTGGCGGATCTTCTCACCAAAGGCCTTGGTGCTGATCGTTTTCGATTTCTCTTGTCCAAGCTGCACGTTCGGGATCTTCACGCTCCAGCTTGCGGGGGAGTATTGGGCCAGGCCCACGTTGATAACGTTGATGACTCTGAGCCTAGTA